ATGAAGTCATTAGGTCCTCACACTGTTGGGCTTAAAAAGCAGAATCGCAAGGGCAATGTCGTTTTCCAAGGATTGCATCCTCTTGTGAAGTTTGGAAGATTTGCGGAGCTAAATGAATCATCCCAGTCTCATGGATCGTCAGATAAAGTATCCTCTGCGCCTACTTCTTCAGAGAGGGTGATATCCGAAGATGATGTTATCACCGTGTCGGATCATGAAGAAAGAGAAGAAACAGCAGATCCAAATGCTTCTGTGGCAGAGGAACATGATCTGACATCAGTTCCGGTCCAAGGTGATTACTATGAAGGATCTTCAAAGAGTGGGACCGAGACTGATTTATATGAAGATCTTGATCTTTCTGGTTTTGATAAAGATGAAATTCCACTAAATTTTGGAAGTAATGAAGATTTTTTGTTAAGTGAAAATCTCAACTCACTGCTTGACAATATCAATGATGTTGCTAATCCAGCAATGGAGATACGGGAAAATAAAGACGTTCTTGAATCTACGCCTCCTACTACCCAACAAGTGGCGGAAACAACAATTCCTATGGTGACAGTGTCAGGGATTCCTCCCCTTGATATTGTTTCTCCTACATCTGCGCCGCTTGAGAGTTACGCACAACAACATAGACCTCTCAACCTCCAGCAAAAAGAAGAAGACGTGACCCTAGACAGGAAATTCTTGATTTTGGTGTACTTCAAGGACTTTCAACACAACTGATAACCACTATTGCTATTGTCTCATCAGAACCTTTCAGTGAAGGTCCTAGCACCGCTTATGAAGCTGGTGGTTCTTCTATTCCCACAGGATTTTCTCCTCCCAGGCCTGATCATGATGCTGCTTCAGTGAGGCTAGCCATGCATTTGGCTGAAGAACAATTCTCAACGCCTCCCTCCCGTGGTAGAGGAATATCTTTTGGGGAAGGCAACTATGGAGAAGAGAATCCTACTATTCTTGGACTACAGAAGGAGATCAACGTACTGAATCAAAAGAATATTGAGCTTGATATCCGGGTTACTAACCTTCAAACTGAAAACACCAAGCTCAACATTCAAGTTGCTGATCTTCTGGAAGACAAAGCTCTAAAGACCAAGCAGATCACCGATCTTCAGACTCACTTTGGTCTGTTGACTGCCAGTTACTACTACTTAAAGAAGAAGCTGGAAGAAGAACTTGGTGACAAATTCAAGTCGTCCGTCGATGAGCCAAAGATCTATATTCCTAATCAAGATGCTCCCATAGTTCCACCACCTGTAAGAACAACCAGGGTTGTTGATCGTTTTGATAAAGAACCAGCACAAGCTCCGAATGTTGTGGCTTTGAAACGTGCCAAACTGGCTAAGTCTGCTGAGAAGGGTCAGTTGTTGTTTAAAAGGAGCTCGGATCAAAATGCTCCTGGGGATCAATCTAACATCACTGTTACAGATCTTGAAGAGAATCGCTTCAGGGATGTATATGGTGATAGGTTAGGGATCATCTCATGGGGATTTCACGACAATTTAAATATGTGGATCGTGAGACGGAAGAGTGGTAACACCGAATTGTATAAAGATGCTCATGAATTCCACTCTTGGACTAGGATTGATCTTACAGAACTATCGAAAGCTCCTTTTGCAAATCCTTCAAATGATCCCAAGGCAGCACATTTCAAGTTGTTTCTAGAAGATCAAGTACTTAAGGGTTTTCCTTCAATGAAGACTGCAGAGTCAATTATTAAAATATACCCAAGTGTAATTGATCCTAAAACCAATCAACCTCTTCGATCTGTGATGTGGCCTACTACCGATCAAGTAAAGCAGATTCCTATTCTTCAGAATCATCCAGATGGATCTTTAAAGTCTATGCAATACTGGGTGTTTGATGAAACTACAGCTTCTGCTGTCATCAAGCTTGAAGATGGTTGTATCCGCTTGTATGACAAAAGAGATTTGCTTCAGTTTGGGAAATGGGATATACATAAGCTTTCTCTTCATCAGATCAAGGTCGCTGAAGACATCTTTGAGCCTGCTGCTAAAGAATACACATCCATGGTTGCAGAAATTATCAGAAAAGGAATGTGGTATGGAGCTATGGGGAAGTCGGACGTGCTGGTGATTGATAAAGACTAAGTCCAAGCTAGAACCAAACCAAGGGGGAGATTGAAGGGTCCAATTAGTGGTTTGGTCTAGGCTTTCATTGTAATAGGTCTCTTGAGTCATTATTGTATTTTGGTAGGTTATTGGTGAGTTTACGGGCAGGTGGTGAGTTTACGTCCGTAAGCCTGTTTACGGCCATAAACCCTGTTTCCGGCCCAAGTCCACTATATATAGAGGAGTTGTAGGTCATTGTTAGGTTGTTGATGCCACAGAGTTCACGGTCTATTGTATCGAGTTGTACCAGACGTTTTACAGCAATAAACGTGTGCAAGCTTGATTTCTCTTCTTCTTCTACTCATATTCTGATTACTTTTGATTGTTTGATTGCTTGATCATTAGTAAAGATCCGTATTAGGACCTTACAGAACCGACAAGACTTTGATAGAGAGTAGGGTTAGAAACAAGAGGACCGTGATGAGATAGTTTAGATTAAGTGTCGGAAGGGGTACTACATGGACTGCAAAAGGACATGTCAGCACAAGCTAGAATTTACTTATCAAAGGAATTCTAAGACAAAATCAGGCCACTATTAAAGTGAGAAGCAACAATTCCAGTGAAGAAAGAAAAAGGACCCAAATCGGACATGGGAAACTCAGACGAGGGGTGAGAGATAATGTGAGTGATATGAGCGGAGGAGGAGGCGGTAAGAATGATATCATCAACATAGGGAAGAAGGAATATATGATCAGAACCAGAGTGGTAAGTGAATAAGGAATAGTCAGAGCGACTGCTGATAAAGCCGAGAGAGGTGATAAAAACAACAAATCGCTAGTACCAGGATCGTGGAGCCTAAGGCTATAGAGGGATTTGCGAAGACGACAAACATAATGAGGAGGAGTGTGATGAACAACCCCGATAGGTTGGTTCATATAGACTTCCTCAGATAGATCGCCATGAATGAAAGTATTTTTGACATCCAATTGATGGATGGGCCATTGCGATTGAAATACTCAGAACAGTACGGATAGTAACGGGTTTGACAACAGGACTCAAAATATTGTCAAAATCAAGGTCGGGAAGCTGAGAGAATCCATGGGTGACAAGCCGACCTTTATAGTGTTCAAGGGTTCCTTTGCTGTCAAACTTATGACAATAAAGATAACGACAACCAACAATGTTGGCCTAGGGGGAAACAAGTTCCCAAGTGTGATTAGATAGAAGAGCAAGCATTTTAGAATCAATAACGTATTTCCAATTGGGACCACACAGAGCTTGAGCTGTAGAGCGAGGGATAGGGGAGATATCAGAAGTGACAGACAGGTTGAAATGTTTTTTAGGTTTGAGAGACCAGATACATGATCAAGTAACCATGGGATGGGTCATAGGAGGGGGATGAGGAGGAGTTGGAACAGAGGAGAGAGTAGTCGGGTGGAAAGAACTACTACTGGGAGGCACGGGGGATGAGGAATCACTTGGAATGTTCTCAGTGGTGGGAAGAGCAATAGTGACAGGAGTGGGGGGAGGTATATCCTCAGAGAGAAAGGAATCATAATCACATGTGGAAGGTTTATCATGAAAGTCAGAGAAGAGGAATTGATCTTCATTAAATATGACATGACGAGAAATAATGACACGTTGTGATCAGAGGATAGGCCAAGCTATAAACAGACATAATATTGAGGAGAGAGCTTATGAGCAGCCGTGGAGGAGAGATTCGGGTATCAAATACACCTAAAAACCCGGAGATGATCGTAGGATGGGAAAAGTGCCAAAGAGAAGCTCAAAGGGAGTTCTAAACGTAATGGTGGAGGTGGAGAGGAGATTACGGGTGTGAACTGATGAGAGCTTCCACTGAAACATGTAAGTGCAAAGGATCTTGTTTATGGTTCATATAGCATGCTTAGCCTTGCCATCTTGTTGAGATGTATATGGACATGAAAAGAAAATTTTGATTCCTTTAATTGCAAAGAGAGAGAGAGAGAGAGAGCAGAGATTTATTATTAAATTCACGACCATTATCACATTGCAAAAGTTTGATGTCAAATTTAAATTGAGTTTGAACATATGCATGAAATTTAGAGGAAACATTAAAGACATCTGATTTAGTACGAAGAGGAAATACCCAAAAGAAGTGAGTAAAGTCATCCAAAAAAAGAACATAGTACTTGAAACCACTCATACGAGTAATAGGAGATGTCCATAAATCCGAATTCACCAATTCAAACATACTAGTAGTTTTTAGATGTAGAAGACGAGAAAGGTAAACGACAATGCTTCCTAAGCTGACATGCATGACAGGTGGGAAGCTTATTAGTAGTACTAGAAATAAATTTGCGGGAATGTAAAAAATTCAAAATAGAGGAGTCAGGATGTCCAAGACGTCTATGCCAGCTGGGGAAAGAGACATCAACGCATGCAGTGTCAAAGAGAGTAAGAGTCGACGAATGGATGATAGGATAAAGATCACCGACACTATCACATATTTGAATAAAGCACGTGTTTTAAAGTCCTTCACAATAAAACCAAAAGGGGTCAAAAGTAACATAGAGAAACTTATCAACAGTGAAATGAAATATAGAGACAATATTTTTAACAATTTTATTCGAGAAAAGAATGTTATTTAAAGCTAAATGGTTGCATGAATGCGGAAAAAAAATTAACTGATATGAGTGATATGAGTGATGGGAAATATAGCACCATTACCAACCATTATAGATCTAGAAGTACATAATGCTAAGGAAAGCATGTTACCTGAGTTAAAAGACATGTGAGAGCTAACACCAAAGTCCATGTAAAGGTTGTTGTCGGGTGGCAACTGAATATATATGGCTTGAAAGACGAATGCTAGATCTGTGAACCGTTGATGAGTACATTGAGCGTGACCACCAAAAGGGACCCCACCAGAATAATGAGGTTGTGGAAATGGGCCCAATGGCTGCTACAGAAAGTGATCAGAATGCACATGGATTGGCTGCTGAGAAGAAAGACCAAGACGTGGAGCTGCTAATTAAAGACCCACAACATCAACCGGTTGCTGGGGAAAACCGTGTTGCTGAGCAGGAGGCCGCTGAGGCGCTGGAAGAGATGTAACAAGTTATTGGTTTAGTGATAATGGCGCATGCAAATACGATAGAAACATCAACACGCTCAGATGAGGCTGATTTACTGATGCGAAGCGACAAAGCCAAAAACTACCTGAGCGAAGGCAGCAGATGGAAGGAGCAGCGAAGCATTTGCCAAAAATCTAGCAAAATATGGTTGTGAATCTAAATAATTTCCATGATTATTATTTTTTTGAAGTGTTTCTAGCATTGTTCCGGTTTTTGGACCACTGATTTTTTGATTTTCCTGAATTGTTAGATGAGGAAAAAAGAGTCGCACTTTGAGACATGGATGAGTCAATGAAGGAATCAGAAGCCGCCTCTCGAGACTCATACAGCACGATCATGTTTTTAGCCTCAATGAAAAATGGAAAGGGAATCGATTTTGGTGATGGTTGAATTAACATCTTTGAGATCATTGGCAAGGTTCTGGAGCGTATGACAAAACTCGGTAATTGAGTTTGAACCCTTCTTCATATTCTGAAATTGGTCCTATAATTGTAACATTGAGGGCATTTTGTTGTTTAAAAAAAATCATCCAATTTTCCCAATGATCTTTAGTGGTACAATCATCATTCAAGATGATTTGAAGTAGCCCGAGACCATATGTACTATAAAACCAAGACTTGATGCGTGCATCAACCGATTAGCATTCATCATCATCATCCCGATTGGAACCGGTTGCATTCATCATCATCATCCCGGTTGGAACCGGTAGGAACCGGTTTTTTGAAGTGTTTCTAGCATTGTTCCGGTTTTTGGACCACTGATTTTTTGATTTTCCTGAATTGTTAGATGAGGAAAAAAGAGTCGCACTTTGAGACATGGATGAGTCAATGAAGGAATCAGAAGCCGCCTCTCGAGACTCATACAACACGATCATGTTTTTAGCCTCAATGAAAAATGGAAAGGGAATCGATTTTGGTGGTGGTTGAATTAACATCTTTGAGATCATTGGCAAGGTTCTGGAGCGTATGACAAAACTCGGTAATTGAGTTTGAACCCTTCTTCATATTCTGAAATTGGTCCTATAATTGTAACATTGAGGGCATTTTGTTGTTTAAAAAAAATCATCCAATTTTCCCAATGATCTTTAGTGGTACAATCATCATTCAAGATGATTTGAAGTAGCCCGAGACCATATGTACTATAAAACCAAGACTTGATGCGTGCATCAACCGATTAGCATTCATCATCATCATCCCGGTTGGAACCGGTTTCTCGGAAATATGACCATAAGACAAAATGCCTCTACACATGTTTGAAAAAATTTGACGCCACAATTTATATCTCGACCCGTCAACATTCAATTTAAAGCTAAATTCATTATAAATATTGGTGAGGGTAAAAACAAGACTTAACTTCGATGGAGTGGTTGTAGAGGATGAACCGGGTGTAGACATGAAGATAATACCTTAGGGAGCAAAAAACACACCCGATGAGAATGTTGGGTTGAAAAACACGAACACAGCATGGGATCACCAAGATGATCATAACATTGGGTCGATCACGCGGGGGCTGAAAAGAAACTCAACAACACGATGCGAGCGATCCGAGAAGCAATCGACACTACGATGAGAGAGACATATGGAGAAATCAACGATCACAAGAGAGGGAAGAAAGCTACAAGAGGGGTGACATGTGTCAAAAAAAATCAGGTTGTAGTAAAAGACACAAGTCGTATGGATTGATGAGGGTAGAAACCCTAGCTTGATATCATGTTAATTGTGGGAAAGTCTCGTGAGTTAGCGGCATATATTGTAGTATATATTAATATATAAGCAAGTTATAGTAGGGTCCCTACACTATACAAAATGTATAAGAAACAATATAAACTAACAAGATAAATCATAGAGGTTTTCTTCCATTACTATTTTCGAGACGTTTGGATTTATTTTGTTGAAAGATTTTAAATGGAATAAATTTGTAGAGAGAAAAAGAATAAGACTGTAATGAAAAATGAAAAATGTGTGATCATTTAAAAAAGTTGAATGTGTGTGTGTATATATATATATATATATATATATATATATATATATATATATATGGGTGTTCAATTGAGAAAAAAAATGTTGAGAACCAGGGAATGAATTTGGGTCACTCATTTCGAATCTGCCGCTTAAGCGTTCCAGCGTATCGGGCTGATGGAACGGATCATATTATATGAATACGTAAATATATATATATATATATATGAACATGTGATTATTCATATATTAATATGACGCGGTGGTTTGTGGCGAAGGTGACGGTGGTTCGTGATGGTTGGTTACATCAATGTTTTCTTTCTCAACCCATCTTCGACACCTTCCACCCTTATAATATGATGTATTTATTCTTTTTAACAAATTATTACAACAATGAACAATAAAGCAAAAATAACTATAATCAAATGATGGAAGTTAAATATAAATGTGTACTTGTATATTAAAATGTAAAATCAGTTTGATTACATCAATGTTTTTTTTATCTAGTTATCTTTAAGGTATTTCGTATATGAAACATGGTTAGATGAAACTGAATGAGACCCGACAAACGTGAACCGGATAGGAATGAACAAATAATGTGTAGCGTTTGGTAAACCTAGTAAACGTGTTGTTGTGCTGAGTTGAACATTAAATCGGTGGAAGAGTTTGATCCCAACATTGCTAATTTTAACTTTTGTGTCGTGTCTCTTCCACATGTTTACTTAAACATATTGAAATCTCATACCTAAATATGTTTATTTCGTATTGATTTTTTTTATTTGTTTAGGGTTTATACCTTCTAAAATGTCATGTTCAAACAATAAAAAGATTGAAAGCGTTTGAACATAACCATTTTTGTTTCATTTTCATATCACAATTTATTTAAACCGGTTGCAATCTCTTACACAAACACAATTATTTTGTGTCGAGTTCATGTTAGGTTTATGGTTTATATTTTGTAAATATGTTGTATTGAAACGCTAAATTGACCGAAATAATATTGTGTTTTATTTTTATATCATATCCTATCAACCAGTATAGCTAAATTGATTGAAATCTTTTACTCAAATCATTTATTTTTGTGTAGAATTCGCATCGGTTTAACAAGGTTAGGGTTTAGTCGCTATTAACCATGGTTCTAAAAGGCGCGCCATGACGCGCTCCAAAGCGTGCCATGACATGAGGCTTTGTGTAGCCGTTACGAAAACGTCTAAGGCGAGCTTGTTAAGCGTGACATCCAAATAACATGTTAAGGCGTGTCTTATCGCGTTATGACCCTCGTTTTTTTTATCGGGCGTAAAACAATATAGTTTTTGTTAACTTTTTTATATTAATTAAATGATAATATACGGCTTCTAGAAACTTGATATATTTGATATAATTCTATAATTCTATAATTTAACCTTTTTTATGTATATAAAATTGTTACGTCTTGAAAAACGTTATAACTCGCAAATGCTCGTCATAATTTAGGTTCGATCTTGCTGACAAGATCACGGCTCGTTATTTAGAATCTTGTTTTTAGGTCGTCCGTTATACCCACCACTAACCATTATAGTGGTGGGTGTCACCTCATCACCACATTCAACCACTAAACCTAAGAGATACCCACCACTATATTCCACTTATTTTTTTTTATTTTTAAATTAAAAAATATATATATTTTATTGCAGAGAGAGGTTAAGAAAGTTAGAGAGAGATAGGAAGTAAAAGAGAGAGAAACAATTGTATTGGACGTCCTCTTCCGTGTCGTGGACAACAATCCACAACGACCAGTCGACCACTACCAACCACTAAGCACCAGGATGGTGTTCGTGGTTAGTGGTTGTTGCCATATCAGCCACGAAACCTTCGTTGTAAGCATACAGGTTGGCCTTAACACGTTTTACAGTGTTGGATTAACGCATTAAACAAGTTGAAATTGACCCTAACTTTACCTTTTCGATATCCAGATTAAGCCACTTCGAATATCATTTTCACCACCTGACGTGTTCAACTCCCCGACAATCGGCTCGCCACAGGCGGATACCCGCCACACGCCTTCGTGTGCCATCCTCCATAAACAACACCCCCTTCATATTCAAACACACGATTCAACTCTTGCTACTCCATCTTGTCCACAGCGCATCTTCAATTTGCAGAGGTACGCAGTTCTTCTCATCTACAAATCAATCTCAAATAAAATGCCAAAAGTCATATAACTTCGCTAACAGTTTACGCCATTTTTGAATCGCTGCTTGTGTTGAATTTGCATAAACTGAGGTTGATTTTTAGTGATTTAATTCTATGCTACTGCTTAATTTCACACGCACTTAAACTTTCCACCTTGTTCAAAACATTTTGGGGAAAGATTAAAGATTAATCCCTTCATTGCGATATATCATGTTAACAATTCCCTGAATGCTGAATCGTTTTATGTTGCATAGTTTGTAATCAATTGCTGAAAGTCATGGAACATGAAGAAAAACAAACCCTAAATATCTTCAACCATCATTAATCAGAGATGGATTTTCTTTTTTTACCAGGTCATTACATCAACATTGAGATTAAATCTTTCGAGATCAGCTCCTATGGATGAAAATGTCGATACGACAAAGAAGAAATCGATTGGCAGGTAGCTTAAACACTATTACTTCAATTCATGGTTTCATATGAGATTCTGTCTTATAACCATTTCTAAGATCCGTTTGTTTTTTTGCATCTTCACAGATCTTCCTTGAGCAAGAAGAATGGTGCAAAGGTTCATAGGAAGATTCATAAAGCAGAAAGAGAGAAGCTGAAACGTGACTATATGAATGAACTATTTTTAGAGCTCACAAAAGCTCTAGGTATGGTTTTCGATTCTAGTCTACTTTCTTCTTATTTATGGTTGATTTTTTGTTTGTAAAGCTTATTCTGTTTGTATACAGAACCAACTAATCAGAACAATGGAAAGTCTTCTGCATTGACCGACACTATTCGAATTCTCCGAGACCTCATAGCTCAAGTCGAATCTCTTAAGAAGGAGAATTCCGTCCTTTTAGCCGAATCTCAATACGTAAGCTTATATGTTATAAGTTATAACTCTATTCTTTTATCCTAAACATATTTTTTCCCGAAGGCATGTGTGGGACCCATCGGGATAACGTTTTCAGTTTTCATAAGTGCTACTTGTTTATTCTTATTGAAAACCAGAGAAACCACATTTGATGGAATGAATTATCATATATATAACTTACCCTTATAAATATCTTGGATATGAACGAACAGGTTGCTATTGAGAAAAACGAACTAAAAGAGGAAAATTGTGCCATGGAAGCCCAAATTAGAAAGCTTCAAAGCCAGATAGATCAAGCAGCGGGGACGGTTGTGGGGCCCGTATTCGTAGTGCCCGTACAGAATGACCCGAAGCTTTACAACGAACCCAAGATTGGGTCCAATGTGAGCAAACCACATGCTCGATACCCGTTGCCTTCTGATTCATGGCCATTTAATATTCTTTCAGAACAGGCAAGAACAGATTAGAATGGAAGTGATTCTTGTTTTTATGGTTAGTGAGGTTTGTTTAATCAAGTGAAATATTATGTAATTGGGGTTGTAAATCTATTTTTTTCCCACAAAAAGTCCAGTTGAATCGCTTTGAATTCAGGATTCAAACTCACGTGTGTCCGACTTGATTGAACCGATAAAATAAACGCTTCGAAAGCTTAGCAGGGTGTCTATAATATAATCTAAGTCTAGTATAATAATAACTTTAATACCAAAAATTAATTGTTACAAACTCATAATAATCGATCACATAAGTAAATCAAATTAGCTCAATGATAAACATAAAACATATAACAGCATATATAATTATGCAAAAAACAGATAAACAATTAACATGTATAGACAAATAAACATCAAATTTTACTTGAATTAAAATTAATATTTATGACGTTAAATTATATGTTTGAAAGAAAAAAACCATCAAAGTTTACTTGAAAATTGAAATTGGACAATAGTGGTTAGTTGTTACTACTCTACACATTTTTACTTTTAGTCCTTTTTTTTATGATAGTGGAAACTCTTCTTGCATGTCCATATTAGGCCATGCGGTATGCGTCTAATGCATAGTACGTTATGCCTATGTTGCATATGTTATAATATATGAAACCCACATATGTTATGTTGATGCCGACTGCGGAGTGCACTGGAGGACCAATTTTCCAACAAGTTACCAACAGTCATCGATGTGGTGGTGTTTTCACTTTTGAGAGAACGGAGCACCGAAGTATAGAATTGGATGGAGTGTAAGCGGTGATCAGTGGTGGCCGATGAAGTAGAGTGGGTAATAGAGTAGACCGGAAGAGGCTACATGGAGGTGAGAGGCGAAGATGTGTGTTTTGGAAAACCTTTTTTTAGGAAATACATCTCTAAGAAATCAATTTTCAGAAAACCCATATATATGAGAAATGGATTTTGCTTTATGATTTTCAAAACCACCATCGTTAACCTTCGACATTGATTTTTAGATTGGGGTTCCTTACATAGAGTGGTGTGGTGGATGCCAGTGGCAGGAGCAACAGATGCTGGTGGCGTCGACTTTACACTCATCGACGACATGGAGTGAGAAGGCGTCAACGAGCTGGCGGGAGGGGAGAGGCAGTGGATAAGATAGTCGGAGGTGAAAAGTGTGGATGTGGGAGAAAATGTTGGATATGGAAGTGGGAAGGATTAGATTTAGGTTATTTTCCATTTTTATTTTTGATATTTATATAACTATAATAAATAAATAAATCCTTAAAAGGGTTCAAAGAAGAAAAAATTCGTCAAATAACCAAATATAAGGAGGAGATTGAAGAATTTAACCATGAAAATCTGATTTTTGGAGAATGACCGCGAGATCCACAGGGGGGGTTCTGCGGATCCCTTTAACCCTCTGCGGAAATGAGAATAGTAACGAGGAAATTAGGTGACATGACTAAAAGACAAAAAAAATCGTGGATATCATGGCTCCGCAGAGGTGGCTCTGTGGAAATCTTTGCTCCTCTGCGGAAGTGTAAAGTCTCTGAGGAATTGTATTCCGACAGATCCGCAGAGCCCTCTCTGTGGATCCCTGTTACACCTCTGCAAAAATGTTTAGTTCTTTGCGGAAATGGTAGTTGTAGTCGTGTTTAAGCATTAATTGACATTTTTATATGTTTCTTATAAGTTATTATCGTTTTTTACGACTTTTAGTTACTAGAAACGAATTTTGTTTTTTTCATTTTTATGAATGCTTTAATCAGTAGAAGTCGTTTTTTCGTTGTCTTTGTGGAGAGTGTTTTGTAAAAATGAGTTTTATTATTCTATGTATGGGAGGGTTGTGGCAGTCAGTTAATGGAAATGAGGTTTACGTTAGAAATAATGTGAAAAACTATGGTTTAAATCTTCCTCCTAACCTTGACCATCTGATGTTATTACAAATGGTTAAAAATAAGGCTGGTGTGTTTAATTGTCATATATCTTTGTCTTTTAAACACCCGGAGTATGGGTATGTCATGGAGCTTGCAGATGAATCAGATATAGTTCACCTGAGACATGTAATGTTTGAAACAAAGTAGACAATGCATTTGTATTTATCGGTGGTAGGTGAAGAAGTTGAAGAACAGCCAGTGGTGAACAACCAGTTTATTGGAGCAAAAAGTAGTAGAGGTCGTGGAGAAAGACATTCTGGTGGAAACCGGTCCAGGGGACGAGGAAATGACATGGGAGTGGGTTATGAAAAGAAAGCTTCAGTTGCTGATAAGTTTGTATCAGATAATGATAACTTTGTATCAGATAATGATAATGAACCAAATTTGCGCATGACAGAATTAGAACATCAAAATTTATTTGAGTTTGGAGAAGTACCCGATTTTGATGATCGATTATATGATGAAAAATCAAATGAAGGCTAGTTGGAAGATGAGTACACGCAACGGAAAATTGCTTTTAATCCGTGGTATTGTAATCCTCCTATTCCTGATTGTCCAGAACCTATTCTTGAACTAGGACCATTTCACAGTTTAGGTTTGAATGATAAAATATTTGTGAATCAAACCTATAACACCAAAAAAGACCTAACATCTTCTGTTAAATTCAAAGTGGTTAAAGAAAATTTTCAGAGTAAGGTACAAAAATCAAGCAAATCTCGGTACGAGGTTGTTTGTTTGCACGAAAACTGTCATTGGCGTTTATATGCAACTGTCATTAAAGAAATTAAAATGTTTGAAATTAAGATGTTTAATGAGGAGCACACATGTTCTTCATTACTTATACACCCAAATCATAGACAAACAACTAGTGAAGTTGTGGGAACCATAATACATGACATTACAGGTCAAGGTAGTTTGAGAGTTTGGAGGCCAAAAGATATAACTAGAGATATGAATGCGTTGCTGGAAATTAATTTGAATTATTCATAAGCGTGGAATGCTAGAGAATTTGCTATGGGATTGATGACGGGGACCCCCAAAGAAAGTTTATCCAAACTTCCAGTTTATTTTCACAACTTGAAGAAACATAATCCTGGGATTGTGGCGTACATACAAACTGATTTGGAGGATCGCTTCGAGTATTGTTTTTTCGCTATTGGATGCACGGTAAATAAATAAATTAAATTTAAAAATTTGTAAATATATAGTGTTTATAAACAAAATAAATTGTTAACGTATTCATGCTTTTTACAAAATTGTTGCAGATACGTGCTTCCAAAGGGTTTTGTAGAAAAGTTATTGTAACGCCTGCAGATACGGGCTAGTCAATTTAGAGACAATAAACGTCAAAAATGACTTTTTGATAGAAGATTATTTAGAATTAATAATCTTAACCATGTTATAGTATATGTCACAAGGGTACCATACATATAAAGAACACTGAAATTCGAGTTATAACGAAAAAGTTATGACCCGTCGAAGTTTTACGGCTAAACCGGCACGACACCGCGTAACGTAAAAAGTGAATTTTTGATAAAATACTTTTTAGCCATAGCAACCTTAACAAAAGTCGTAGTATACGTTAAACCGAGAACGTGCATAAAAAGAACGTCCAAATCTGACTTCGTATGATGAAGTTATGATTCTTCTAAGATTTAGCAAAATAGTGCACAGCTCGGAATTCGAATTTTAGATCGACCGGTTTTTAGCCGAAACAATATAAACAAGAATTGAATATCTCGTTAATAGGAGCTCAACGATATAAAGACAGATGAAAACGGAAGTCGGATGTCAACATTATGAATTTTTAACGGACTTTCCCAGTTTAAGTCTGTTAAAATATAACTTTAAAAATAGAGTTAAAACTAGCCGACAGAGTCTAAACAAAAGTTGTAGATCACGTCGCTACCTACGCATGGATATAAAGAATGACGAAAACGGAGCTCGTATGCGAAAGTTACGGAATTTAGAAGTTTATTAATTTATAGAGAAAGCGAGGCTGACAAGTGGCATAGATCCGAGCCCTCGCTTTCCATCCACGGCTTCGCATGCGGTGCCGACACTTGGCCATCGTACGTGCAACGTAGCTCCTCATACACGCAACATACTGAGTACGCGCATCGTACTCCAAAGTTACGCCCAGCGTAACCGAAGCCTCGAGCCTATAAATAGATGCGAGGAGCACCCCATTTCTTCCCACCAAAACCCTTCTTTCCCTCTCAATACTCCCAAACTGTCCCTACCACTCCCTAGTACTTCCCAAGTGTTAGAGGCGAGTCCCAGAGCGCCAAAAGGCTCCGATAAGAAGAGCTTTCGACTCAGAATTTTACCGTGCAGAGCCCGGTTCTTCGCTAAACTCCATTGTAAGTGAGTTATGCTTACCCTTCTTTAAGTATAACTTATATATAAGTTCATTATTGTTATTATGAACTTATAAGCAATATATAAGCTAATTATAATAAAATATAAATTATACAAAGTATTATTATAATACCTTTTAACTGCTCGCGGTACGGGGAATCTGGTTTGAAGGGTCGCATAGGGTTGTTGGATTTCAGAACAACTTAAATGCCAAAATGGTCCTGCCCTCCGGTGTGTCATGTCTGGCCCTGTCTGTACATAGTAGTTGAAAAGTATTGTTTAACACTTATAAAACAATATCGCTCGTAGACCTTGAGTTAATTAGTCGCAATAAATATTAGACTAAAACTTAGCAAAAATAATGTTAGGTTTCGTCGAAGGAAAAGATGATTGTTAGAAGCGAAGCGCTGTCCGAATTTCGAGTCATCACTTTAACAAGTGAGTGCATTGTTACTTTCATATTACACATTGATATGAAGTACTTAATATAAATTACGTGCTATGTGTGCATCTTATCTGTGTTCTTGATATCTATACTGGATGAACAAAATATACACGTTTTACTTGATTTAAATTATATGTATTTTATACCTATAAGTATATTGGGTAAATATGGGTAGATGAAAGATGAGATGATTGATGAGAGATGAAATATGATATAGATGATGAGAGGTGAAAGATGATAAGAAGCTTTGACCCAAACGATGGCCCAGTCATCTAGCAGAGTATAGATGACAGCCACATACTATTCTAAACAGTCGAGTGGAACGCTAGCAGGCTCGCAACCTGTAGGTGTTGTGAACGATATGTTCACCAGATGTACTCTAAAAACCCCAACAACTATGGACTTAGTGCCTTACAAATGA